AGGGGAGGGGAGGGGGGCAGAGGGGGGGATGGAGGAGCCAGGGGAGGGGAGGGAGGGAAAGGGCAGGGCTCAGCTGAGGGACGCCCCTCCTCTGATGCTCCCCTCTCCCCACAGTGAGCCAGCACTCCGGGGTCCTCACAAACCACCTGGGGACCAGTGCCTCCTCCCCCACCTCCGAGTCAGACAACCATGCACTTTTAGATGAGAAAGAAGACTCCTATTTCTCTGAAATCAGAAACTTTATTGCCAATAGCGAGATGAACCAAGCATCAACACGAACGGACAAACGGTAAGAAATCGATTCCGGACCCCAAGAAGATCTAGATCCAGAGCCCACCTGTGTGGCCACACCCAGAGGAGCCCTCCCACAGCACTGGCCCCCTGGGTGCCCACAGACAGGGACCAGGGCCCATGGCAGAGGGGGAGACCGATGGGTATGGCCGGCATCTATTCTGGCCCTGGCTCTGCCACCTGGAAGTGGCCAGGGAGGGGGGGCTTCAGCAAGGACTACCCGCCCCCCGCCTCAGTGTCTGGGTCTGCAGAGGGTGAGAAGCATAAGCGTCCCGACCAGTAATGGCTGTGGGGCGCCAAGGTGCCGGCCTTGTTTGGCTTGGGTGTCACAGGTGTGCAGCAAAGCACAGACCAGGCGAGGGCTCCTGCCAAGAACCCTGCTGGGGGTCTGAGAATCCAGAACATTTCCATTTAATCCAAGGCACTGAAGGTTTCCTAACAGAAGTGCCCCACACACACGTGCATATGCACTCACGCACGTGCACACAAAACCACAAGGCATGCACACATACATATACATGTGTGCACGAAGCCACACAGATATGCACACTATGTACACACATGAATACACAGCCACACATGCATATACACAGGCACACATGCATGTACACATGCACACGTATATATACACAGGCACACACACATGTACACAGGCACTCACGCATGTACACAGGCACACATATATATACACATGCACACACAGATGTACACATACACACATATATATACACAGGCACACACGCATGCACACAGGCACTCACGCATGTACACAGGCACACATACATATACACATGCACACACGCATGACGCATGTACACAGGCACACACATATATACACATGCACACACGGATGTACACAGGTACACATATATATACACAGGCACACACGCACGTACACAGGCACTCACGCATATACACAGGCACACATATATACACAGGCACACATGGATGTACACATGCACACATATACACAGGCACACACGTATATACACAGGCACACACGCATGTACACATGCACACGCCCATGTACACATGCACACGCGCATGTACACAAGCACACACGCATGTACACATGCACACATATACACAGGCACACATACATATACATACACACATGCATGTACACAGGCACCCACGCATGTACACATGCACACATATACACAGGCACACACGTACACATACACATATATATATACACAGGCACACACGCATGTACACAGGTACACATGCATGTACACATGCACACATACACACAGGCACGCACGCATATACACATGCACACACATATATACATGCACACACGCATGTACACATGCACACGCATATACACAGGCATGTATGCATATACACACATGCACTGCTGTACACGTGCACACGAACTCACACGTGTGCTCACATGTACATATGTATACACTCACATGAAACCACACATACACAAAGGCATAAACAGGTACACACACACATGTGCACTCACATGCACTCACAATGCATGCACACATACATGCACTCACACACTTACACGCACTCACAATGACACGTACACACACGTGCACACATATACATGCATTTGCACACAGACATGTACGCATGCACATGAAATCACGCATCTGCACACACATAAACACATAGCAACACGTGCATACACATGCAAACATATACACTTGTATGCATCTGTACACGGGTACACACACGTACACATGCACACACACACGTGCTCATGGTGGCAGGAAAATGGCTGAATTCAGATTCAAGATATGGAAGGTGTTCTGCACAACCCTGGATCCCAAGGCTCAGTGGGTGGCATTGCCTCCAGGGTTCCCTGTGGAAGGACACTTCAAACCCCCCAGGTAAACATTCTCCTTGGGTGAACGCTGGTGCCAGACCAGCCGGAAAAAAAATGGAGACGCTCCAAACACCAAGAAGCCTTGGGGTGCAATCCCCTAATTCTGCAGCAGAAAACTGAGCCCAGCGAAGTTGGGGGGGCCTTGCTCCAGCCATAAAGCCAGGCCAGAACCTGGAGCCAGAGCCCTGGCCCTGGCCCTTACGCAGATCTGTGGCCCCCCCAAGGCCAGGCGCCGTCCCCGCCCGCCTCCAGCCAGTGAGGGTCTCCTCAGGAGACTCGGTTTCCTCCAGGACAGGCTGCATCTTGGATACTCCTAGGGGAAGGCCTGTCGAATTTGTAAATAAACTTTTCCTGGGGCCGCCACAAGCTAAGTCGTGCCCCCTGGAAGGTGATCTCACCTGCCTGCCGGGTAGGGCCCCGGGTGGGCTCTGAGGAGGGGCTGATGGGAGAGTCTGGCTGTGGGCTCCGCTTCCCAGAGCCTGACCCTGGCTCGGCAGTGGAGATTCTGGCCTGGGTGCAGTCCTGCCTGCTCTGGTGTGGACAGAGCGCCCTTGTCCATCCGTGGCTCCCGGCACGCACACGGTGGTCTCACAGGAACCTAGATCCCTGCCCCTCGGGGGGCACGGAGCCTGTGTTCAGGCAGCTCTGCAGCCCGTTTGAGAGAAAGTCACAGATGTGAGCACCCGGGTGCCAGAGCTTATCAGAGCCCTGCCGATGGGCCAAAAGACACATCCTGGCTGTTAAAGACTGTCCTTTGGACTGAGACTCTCTGCACCCAGGAAAGGCAGATGAAGAACCTACGAGGATTTGTCAGTAGCATCCTCCACGGGGTGCACCGTCCTCCAGGATCACCAGAAAGGCCCTCACGCCTTTCTGGTGAGGGCAGGCCCAGCTCTTAGCCATGAGGAGGACTCTCCACGAAACCCACCGGGACAGAGAGGAGAGGAGAAGAGACCACAGCACCCTGACCTTCACCATGGAGCGTCTCACCAGGGCTTTCCCGACGGCCCCTGGTGGTGGTCAGACGGAGGAGACTGGCCCCAGATCCCTCAGGAAGCCCCGGGGCAGAGAGCTGACCACAAACCCAGGCCCTCGGATATCCTGTCCCGCTGAGGCCTTGTCCTGGGAGACGGGGAGCCTCCAGGAGACGCCCACGTCATGGTTGGAAGTGAGAACCACGATCACAGGTGACATGAATCCATTAATCTGTGTAAAGCGGTGAGACGTTGGCAGTTCCATCTGGGGCCAAGATCAACATTATCCGGTTCACATCCAGAACCAGTTTCCTTCTCTTGACCATCAGGGAGAATTGAGGGACAGCCAGGCTTCCTGGCCCTATAACCCCTTTAATACCTGGGCTGAATTGTACCCCCCCAAAATCCTAACCCCTAGTACCTTGGAATGTGGCCTTATTTGGAAATAGGGTCTTTACAGATGTAGTTGGTTAAGATGAGGTCATCGGGGTGGCCCCCAATCCCACATGATGTCCTAAGGCTAGAGCAGGACACAGAGGCACACGCGGGGAAGCGCTTAAAAGTGAAGGAGAGCTGGGGAGATGCGGAGATGCCGCTACCGCCAAGGGGCGCAGAGGACCGCCAGCCCACCTCCAGAGGCCTCAGAAGGAAGCAGGCCCGCCCGCGCCTGGACCTCGGACTCCAGCCTCCAGAACCAGGAAAGACGGGGCTCCTGGGGTTGAAGCGCCGGCCTGGGGCAGGGTCACGGTGGCCCCAGGATGTCACATGCCGCAGGCGGCTGTTTGGAGGCCCAGACATCCGTGCAGGTGCTGCCAGCCTGCCGGACCCCATCCCCGGTCCCTGCTGCCCCTCCCCAGGTGCTCCTGCTTGATGCAGGCCTCCTGCCAGTGGGCAGATGGGTCGTGGGGGCCGTGCTCCCTGCTCCCAGAGGGGCTCACACATAGAACCGCACAGCGCACTTAGGTTCGATTAAACATGCACGGGGCTGCCTGTGGAACAGAATCCGAGTCCCGACCCCCAAGTCTGTCACCTGCGCTGTTTGTCCCATCCTCAGCATGGGGGTGTTCCCACGTCGCCAAGAGGGCACAGGCTCTGAGCCGGCAAGGCCCCCCCGGCGGAGGGGGACCACAGGGAGGGGCAGGACCCGGGTCCCGACCTGTGTCGCTTGGCTCCAGAGCCCCTGTCGTTGGTGGACGGACGTGTTCTGATGACAGCACAGGGGAGACCCCCAAGAAGGAAAGCGTCAGGCAAGGTTCTGGCCGTCTGGGAAGGCAGGTCAGGTGTCAGCATCTTGTACTTTTCTCTGGGAAAGGCGAGGAGGAAAGACTAGGGTGGCCAGGAGCCCAGCCACCAGGGGCCTCCGGGGCCCGGCCCGTCTGCACAAGCCTCTGTGTCTGGAGGCCAGTGTCCCTCGGAAAGGGCCCCCCCCCACCTTGACCCCGAGAGCAGGACTCCTGCCTCCCCGGACGGCTGCGGACGGATTTCTGTGGGCCATGCAAGGTCCAGGAGGAATGGGGCCCCAGACGTGGGCTCAGGAGGCATGTGCCCACCCTCCCTGTCCCCCTCCACCTGGATGCTGGACACCTGCCAGGTGGCCCTCAGGCTAGTGGCATTTTCTGAAAGAAACAAGAAGGCTCGCCCTTGCTCAGCTTGTATTCTTTCCTTTTAAGAATGAGGATCCAGGGTGGAAAAGTCTCACCCAGCTGGAGTGACGCTGAGGGAAATGAGGTGGGGTCTGGCCTGCAGGAGAGAAGCCACCAGTCTCTGAAACAAACTCATCTGGGCAGGTTTCCCTGGCTGACAGCAGCCCAGCCCTCGTTCTGCAGAACCCCAGGATCCCGGACCTTCCATCTGCAGAGGGGACCCGTCACTCTGGGTAGCCAGTGTCCCTGTGTCCTCATGGCTGGCCAGGAAGACTGAGCAAGGGTCGATCAGCAAACTTCCCCAAGGGCACCCCTTGTGCAGTGCCCAACCCCAGCTCCAGCACCTAAGACCCCCTTCCCCATCAGACTGGCCGTGGCTTCCTTCCCTGACACACACACAGCCTGAATCGCTGGCAGCCGGTGTCCCCTCAGGAGCCCTGCTGCTGAGGCACCCTTCTGTGCTCAGCCCACTGTGCAGGGGCGGCGGCTCAGGCCGAGGGCTCAGAGGGTCCCCGTGACCGCGAACGCAGGCTGTCTTCGCAGGGGGCGAGGGCCGTCGCAGGCCTTCTGGGGTCTGAGGCCCACTCCCTCCCCTGTCCCTGCAGGCCCGAGGCCCGGGACCGGGACGGCAGCTCTCAGTGTGCGGGCATGGCTGGCAGGAAGCCGGAGGATGCCGAGGAGGAGGAGGAGGAGGAGGAACTGGAGGAGGAGGAAGATGACAGTCTGGCGGGGAAGTCCCAGGATGGCGCCGCGTCCCCCACGCCCGAGCCCCAGGGGCCCTATGAGGATGAGGACGAGGAGCCACCCACCTCCCTGGCCGTGGGCTTCGAACACCCCCGAAGGTGGGGACCGGCCCTCCGTGGGCCGCGCCTGGGCAGCCTCGCGAGCTGGGGCCTGGGCCAGGGAGGGCCCTGAGCGTCGTGAGGGCGACCTCACCCTCAAACCACCCACGACCCCACCATCCCCCCAGCCGGGCTCACCCCCATTCCCAGCAGGCGTCTCCACCGCGGGAGGGGGGCCTTCCACACGCAGGCCCAGGCGACGGCCAGCCTGAGCAAGGGGGTCGGGGCCCAGCCCACCTCCCCCCGACACACACACACTTCCCGAGAAGGGAGAGCTGCAAAGGAGCCGGTCCTACCGCCCCACCGTCTCTGGCGAGTGGCCCCGGGCAGTGACGCCTGGCCCGAGCCGGCTGTGCTGAGCAGGGGCTGAGCGAGCTTCGGACGTGGTGCCGGCTGGAGCCCCTTCCCGTGTGGCCCGGCTGCCCCTGGCCTGCGTCTGGCACCAGGCGAGCTCCAGCGTTCCAGACCTTCCCGGGGGAGTCCTGTGGATCCAGGAGGCCCGAACTCCAGGGACGGCCAATCCCCCGTCCTCGGGGTCCTGGGAGCAGGAACCCTGGGCCCCTCCAGAGCTGCCTCCGGATCTGTCCTCCTTCCCAGAGACCCAGGCACCCCGCCTGCTGCTTGCAACGCGTGTGCACGTACTCACCGCCTTCCGTGCCCCTCTGTCCATCCCTCTCCTGCATCTGTGTGGCTTCTGTCCAGGTGTCCGTGTGTCTGTGTCTGTCTCCTTGTGCATGTGGCTTGTGGAGACGCCGGGGCGTGTACGCGGGCCTGGAGCCCGCCGTGGGGCGTCAGAGAGGCGGTCAGAGGCCAGCCCAGCTAACGCCAGGCCCCTCTCCCCGGTCATTGGTGCAGGTGTATTGAGGAGCAACCAGGCGGCCTGTTAGCTTTGGAGCCGATGCCGACTTTTGGGAAGGGGCTGGATCTCCGCAGAGCAGCTGAGGAAGCATTTGAAGTTAAAGATGTGCTTAATTCCACCTTAGATTCTGAGACTTTAAAGCAGACACTGTACAGGCAGGCTAAGAACCAGGTAGGTACCCAGCAGAGCCCCCCCTCCTGGCACCCGCAGGCTGGATGGCAGGGGGCAGCCGTGCCTACTTTGCTGGTGGCCGTCCTATGCATGGGGCACAGCAGGACCACGGGTCCCCGGGCCTGTTGCCTCGGCCAGAGAGACACCCAAGCGACAGCTACTTCCCCACAAGCAGGGGTGGGGCAGGGAGAGATCGAGGCAGGTGAACGTGAGCCGGGCGCTCACAGGCACATGGGTCACCCGTGGCAGGCGTCCACGGGCAGGTGTCCAGCCTGGAAGCTATGTAGGCCTCCCTCCCTCTGATTTGAGCAAGTGTGGCTGGTAGCCCAGGCTTCTCTTGAAGGAAGCTGTCCATCATGCGGTCAGTAATTCCAAGCTGGAGCTGTGACAGGGTCAGCAAGGGCACCTGGGTGCGCCTCGACCCCATTCCTTAGTACAGGCGGCCACAGGGCCCTGCTTCCTGCTTCCATCCATCTGGAGGGGCAGGGTTTCCGTCAGCCCACCCCGAGTCTCAGCAAAAACCGTCTGCGTGTCTGTCTTTGTCTTTTACTAATCCTGTCCAGAGTGTGAACCCGGGTGGGAGGAGGGTTGGCCTTCCCCCACCCCGCTCTGCTCTGAGTGGCCGCCCAGGTCCCATTGCCTCATGCCCTATGGCTCGTGGCAGAAGGAGCATCCTGTGGACTAGCCATGCTCCGGGCTCGGCTCAGACAAGCTGTGCATCCACTTCCCCAAGTAGCTCTGTACTGTCCCTACAGCTGTCCAGACGGGCAGCCCCCAAGACCCACCAGACAGGGACGGCCTCTTGTGGACTACCAGCAATTCCCGGGGCCCTCTCAAAAGTGGGGTGGGGCAGAGAAGTGACTGCAGGGGAGAAGCACCCCCAAAGAGCCGTGGGAGCCCCTGTGCATGGAGGCTAGGATCCTGGCAGCTTGTCCCTCTGCATGGGAGCCCAGCTGATGTTCACACACACCTCCAGCCCCACCACACCCCACCCCCACCCCCCGCATCTTCCTCTTCCGGGCCCCAGGGGAGAGTCTTGCCTTCCCCCTCTCCGTCCAGATCCGGGCAAGGCTGAGCCCAGCCAGAGGGCAGTGGGGGGCCAGGAAGGGCCAGCCTGGGATCTGCAGAACCTGAGCTCACACGGCTCACGTGTCTGTCCTGTGTGTGTGTGTGTGTGTGTGTGTGTGTGTTCTTGTCCTCTCCCCGGCCAGGCGTATGCAATGATGCTGTCCCTTTCCGAGGACGCTCCTCTCCACACCTCCTCCCAGAGCCCTCTGGACGCTTGGTTGAACATCACAGGAGCCACGCCGGAGTCCGGAGCCTTTAACCCCATCAACCACCTCTGACGGGCCCGGGAGGGGCCGGGGTCAGAGTCCAAGCAAGGTGACCTCGGGGCCCCATCGTCCCAACAGAAATCCTGGCTGCAGAATATGGAGAAGGGAGCCTCGGGAAGCAGCGTGCCCTGGGCCAGAGAGAGCCCCCCCACTGCCCCGTCACCTGCGTTGACCACTCCTCAGCATCCATCCCCCTGCACACACCATGGTTCAGCTCCAACTTTTCCAATGAAAACTCAGAGCCCAGGAGTCCCTGAGCCGTCCAGGAGGCCCACCGTCCAAGAATTGGTCTTAAGAACAGCGTTCTGGAAGGGTACAGCGCACGGCCGGCCACGCGCCACTCCCGGGAGTTGCCTCGCAGAACCAACCCAGTGGGTGAGGGTGGGATTTTAATCCCAGACTGAATGAAGGCAGCGGGCCACTGGGGCATCCACAGGGTGTCTCAGAAAGGACCGGACAGACACGGGTGTGCTCTACAAAGGGAGATCGCCCAGACGATTTTTTATAATGAGAATTACAAGAGTAACCCTTTTGGTAATCTTATTGACGACAGAGCCTATTTAAGCATGTGGTTTTAAAAATAGACAGTATTTTTTAAAAAATCGAAAGATGACTTGCAAATTGTTTTTTAAAAGTAATTTTGCATTGCTTTCAAATCTCCGCTTCTTTGCAAACCCAAACCTGCCTGGAAACTGGTACTGTGTCTGGGTGTGTTCTTTATACTGTAGATAACGGAGAAGTTTTCTATCCCTGACCATATTTGTAAAGCCAACGTGATCCTGGGTGCCCCCGAGCAGAAATGAGGGGCCTGGGGCCCCCGCCTGCGAGCAGTTTCAAACTGTACGGTGGAACTCTCAGACATGGTATCCTGGGCTGGCCCAAGGCTGCGAGAGAGGCCTGTTGCACGCGTCCCACGGGTGCAGCATGGGATTCATGCCTGTGGCCCCCACCAAGACCCCCCAATTGTATGGGGGAGGTGTGAGAGCGGTGGGCCAGGCAACCGACGCTCCTCCCGACAAGGTCCGCACATCAGCCACACCCGGGCCAGCCCCCCATGGCCGCTCTGTGGAAGGCAGGGCCCACCGGCTACGTCTCCAGCCCCCCACCCCCACCCCCGTCAGACGGACAAGGGGAAGGAAGCGGGCATCCCCCCCACTCCCTGGCCTCCGTGGGGCGCGCTCTGCGGCTCACCTGCCCCAGGCCGCCAGGCTCTGCCTGCGTGAGACCCCGGCTCTGGGACATGACCGCCACCTCCTCGTGTGGCTTCTTGGCAGCCCAGATCAGCTCCAGAACAGAAGGGCCTCCGGGTGGGACCTGCCTCCCGGGAAGCCGAGACCGCACGGCCCGGCCGGACGGCACCTCCTCAGGATGGATCTGCCTCTCCACTCGGATGGGCTTTAAATTATTCCCATAGGGGCCAATTTCAAATCATAATTTTTTTTCCCTGATGGAATTTACCTTAATCTGTATATAACTTGTAATTTTTTCTAATTCATTTCTTTTCTTATTTTATTTCTTCCTTAACAGTATTTTGGCATTAGACATTCTTATTGTGAAGAAATAATGTTAATATAAGTATCTAGTGAAGGACCAAAACCGTGTATAAGGTTGTGTGTTGTGTGATCGATAACCAGGGAGTGGGGAGGTTTTTAATGTGCCAAATACCCCCGCGCCCCCCGACGGATCCTGCTGCCCGTTTCCAGACAATCACGTGTTTTTGTTAAATTAGAGTTTCAGTTACATTTGCATTTAAGACAAGTGTTCTATTTATTTCTTTTATTGTTTGGAAGGAAAAAAGAATAGCGTCCCAACAGGAAGAGAAAAAGACCGTCCAAGTTGCCCTTAAAAAAGAATGTAGATGCAAGCGGCAGGAGTGTGGGGCGCCTGGGGACGGGGCTCCAGCGGTGCACGAGCTCTGGGCACTGGCCCAGGGGCAGCAGGCCGGTCAGAGCAGCCGAGTCCCCGCGTCCCTGCCACTCCAGGCCGGCGACAATCGTGTGCTTCCGCGCTGGGAGACCTGCGTGGGGAGGCCCTGAGGGTGCCACGCCGCTGCGGGCCCCAGTGGAAGGGTTCTACCCGCTCCTGGCCCATGGGAGGCAGCGAGGCCGCACCCGGGCCACTCCCGCACACCCACAGGCTGGCAGGGCGCCCTGCTCGAGGAAGAGCGGGCGAAGCCCCGTGGGCGAGGCTTTGCAAACACAGCCCCTCACCTCCTCGTGCGCATCCACCTCTGCCAGGCTCACCAGGCGCGGTGTGGGATTTCCCCTCCACCCAGATGGGACCCCTTTGCAGAGTCAACCTCAGATACAAATGCCCATTTCTGTAAACCTAAATTATATTTCTTCTGCTAAAGAATAAGGTGTGTGCTTTTTTTTGCGATATGACTCTCTCTGCCTAAAATAGGAAATTTGGCCTGAGCACTGGTGGAGACCTGAGCGTCTATTCTCCGTGGTCCCAGAACAGATAAGGGACCATGGCCGCCGCCTGTGGACCGTTCCTTGGGCTGTGGCCATCTGTCATTTCAGGCCAGCCGTGGCTGCGTCTTCTCTCTCCCTCCTTCTCAGAGCCCCACCTGCTCATCTTCAGCCCTTACTTTTGTCCCCCTGAAAACAATTAGGGCTAGCCCCATTTCTCTTGAACGTTCAGCCCCTTGGGCCCAAGCACTTGGCAGGTTTGCGGGGGGGGGTTCTGTCCTTGGACCCCTGACAAAGGGAGCACTTAGTCACCACCCTGGTGCCTCTCCCCACCCCCGAGTACAGCGAGCTGCCCTCCCTACTCTTCTCTGTCCCCAGGCTGCAGCGCCAGCACGGACGCTTGGGCTTAGCCTAGACCGTGGGGGCCAGGGGTCTCGGCAGCTAGAATTCTGAGACCCCAGCCTCAGAGCTCGGCTGCAACAGGGCAACCGCCGGGCTGACCACTGTGTCCCTGGGTGGCGGCCAGGGTCAACCTGTCAACCTGGGGCCCCACTGGGCCAGGGCCCTTCCATCCAGCATCAACGGCATTCCTCCTTTGGACCGTTGACCTTCCCAAATGGAAATTCAAAAGGAAGGCTCCCCGCTCCCCCCTCCACCACCCCTCAGACCCCGGTCCCCAGCAGACTGACCCCATCCCCCCACCGTTGCTCTCATTCCTGGGACAACTGGGTAGGACGCATGGAGCTGCCGATCCTTTGGCCAGCCAGACCCTTCGTGAGTGGGACCCAGAGATCCCCTGTTTTGAGCCCAGGGGTGCATGTTCCTGCAGCCGGCCTGGGACTCTGCGTGTGGATCAGTGTGACAGGCTGAGCCCGCGTGGCCTTCCTGTTCAAGGCCAGCATCTCCGTGGCCCAAGCCTGGCCCTGGAAACCCGCAGGACCCTCGGCTTTCTGTGTCCTAGCTGCTTCTTCAGTGAGCGTTCGCAAAGCACTTGCCCAAATACATATCACCCGTTGGTAGCCTTGAAGCCTCAAAGCACTGGACTGTGGTTCCCCTGCCCCCTGCCCTGTCCCCCTGCTCCTCAGCCCCCTGCCCAAGTGACTGAAATCTACTGAGCTGTATTCACTGTGCTGTCCTGGGGGAGAGGCGAGGGGGCAGCGCCACCCAGGAGAGCTGGGCACCTTGCGCCCCTCCCGGCTGGGGTCGCGAGGCCGCGGCCGCTCCTGGTCGGTGGAGGTCAGCCGGGTATCAGAAGCCATGAACCTGTCTCCGCAGCAGCGAGCGATACTGTGACAAGACATTCCTGCATGATTCCAGGAGCGTTCCTTTCCTCCTTGCATTCCAGTTTGTTATGTCTTCCTTTCCATCACCGATTCAGATTACCGCTTTTGGAAAAAAAATAAAATAAAAACAAAAGGCAGCTTGAGTTTTCCAAATGTGCAATTCACTTGTGAGCAAAGTAATTCCGGAGGTTTCTATTGTTGTGTTTTATATCGTTGACGTTCCCGCGACGAGGGAAGCTGAGCCCCCGTGTCGGAGCGCGTCACGTAATGCGTACGTGTTTGCACCTGCTGGCAAGAATCCTGTACCTGTGTATCCACATCTCCCTCTTGCCATTGCTTCAGTACAGACTTGGTTCAGTTTGCTTTCGTTGTTTGGGTTTGTTGTTTTTTTTTTTCTTTTAGAACTGTATAGTGTTGAAAAAGAAATCAAATGTAAATGTCAGGTTTTCATATAATGTTTAAAAAAAAAAACCATTGAGAAGGAGGCCGGTGTATGTCCCATGTCCCCCTGATTGTAAATTGCTTCTGTTATAAGTAAACTGTGCATGACTCGTGTTTAGCGGTCATTATCGTGTCCGTTTGTGAAATTTTTTATGAAAAGGAAAATTCGGTAGATGCACTTGTTGAATATGTGATTAGGATCTATGTCCTCCAGACGAGGAGCTCGGAACTGCTCGCGCAACAGGCGCAACTCGTGAGCAACGTGGGCATCACTGAAGAAGGATGAAGTGCAAGCCACCCAGTATAGGAAATCATCGCGTGATTCTGCAGACTGCATTTTGATGCTTGTGATAAAGACAGATGTACTTGTGTAGAGAAGCGTCTTTAAGATGAAGCCTAGGAGCAGCTGATTTGAGGTTAATGCTGTAGGATAGGACTGTACACCAAATGTAATCTTTCCAATGCGACAATGAATTTATACATGAGATTGATATGCAATAAATCTGTGTGCTTTTCTAAGTCTCGCCCCCGGAGCTTCACTGAGGGAGAATGGAGGCCCCTGGGATGGGGGAAGGACCTGGGGTCAGAGCATGTCCAGGGGCGAGGCTCACCAGCCTGGGTCGAAGGTCCCCGGGGACAGGCTGTGAGACGTGCATAGCCATCACCTCACCACCACACCAGGACAGGTACCCTTGCTATTCACATTTTCCAGAAAAAAAAAAAATAAGCTCAGGGAAAGCACCAACTACCCTGGATGGCTCTGCAGTGAGTGGTGATCCCCAGGCTAGCTCTCCCCTAAGTGTGTCTACCCCAAGGCACATTGGCCTCCAGCTGTGTACCCTCTAGGGGTGCCCTTTTTCAGGAATGTCCATAT